TCTTTTACCTCCTTTGTTAGGTTGACTCCCAGGTATTTGATTCTTTTTAATTGAAAAGGGGATTTTTTTTTTTTATCTCTGCTTCTTCTGCTTGGTTGTTTGTGTATAGGAAAACCTCTGACTTTTCTGACTTTTGTGTGTTGATTTTATAACCTGCTACCTTGCTAAACTGGTGGATGGTTTTGATTAGTTCCTCTGCAGACCACAGTATTTTTAATAATTATTTTTACTTTGACATATATCCATTTCTTTGCTCACTGTTGCATTCTGTGGGTTTTGTCTACCGCCTCCCCCACCCTTCTGGTCACCAAAGATAAAATACAGCAGGACTGTCTGGGGAGGGGAGTGTTTAAGAAGTTTAGTGTCAGAATTCTCATGGCATCCAATCTTACTGGACTATACTGGAATTCTACACACAGGTAAGTTTTCTCTCTGAATACTAGTATCACATTGTCACTGACGCCTCTGTCCTCACGCTTGTTACACCTTCATGGTTTTTCTCTCTAGGTAGTTTGAAATATCTCGCTCTTGCTATTTTCACTGCTGTATTTGGGTGTGGATGTTACAACGGTACCTGGTACTGTGTGCAACTAGGCACGAGGGCACCAATTGTTTCCACTGCAAAATCATCAGCCATCTTTGCTAATTCTCCTCCTTGCCCTCTCGTCTTCATTTTATCTACCTGAACTCTATTTTCAATCTGTGCATCTATATCCTGGCTGCTGTGTCATTTAGTGTCTCCTGTTTCTTCCCTTAAATCTCCATAGTTTATCAGTTTCTCATATTCATATCTGGGCAGGGGGGTTACTTTTACATGTCACAACAGCAGTGACATGTCACTCTAGCAACCCTGTTCTTTTTCTCTTAGGTTAATAACCCAGAAAATAAAATTAAGTGCTTGCTTCTTCTTATGTTTAAACTATTTGTTGAATTTGCTGGTTTTCAGGCCATAGCCTTGTGACCTCATACTCCAGGTATAAAGAGAGGTCAGAGAGCTTAGGCGGCATCACTGATTCTCTGCTTGTGTCTGAACCTAGCATAAACTTTTTTTCCCTTTAAAGTTTCATGTCTTTACCCCCAATGATCCAGGGTTGTTTCTCTTCATAGTCCATTGCATTGGCTATTCTCTGTCAGAGTTCCTATCTTTTCTACTTTAACTCTTCATTTACTTTTGATATTCTCCTTTTTCCCTTTGCTTCTATCATCTCTATTTGCTATCTTCCAACTTGATTATTCCTTTATTTTGTCCTTACCTGCCCACTCCTGCACCATAATCTTGTTTGCAAAAACAATCACATCATTTATAACTCTCTTTTTGCAAAGTGTCTGATAATATTGGTCAGCCTCTTGGAGCAAATTTTTAGGTGTTGTATGTTTACCCTTGCTGTTCCTTTTAATCACCTCCAAGTATGTTTCCCCTAAATTATTTTTAAAAATATGAAGGGCCAGATTCTAAGCTAGCAGCTCCTTGTGGTGACCCAAGTCTGAACGTGAATGTTTTAGTCTTTCCTTCTCCACAGCCCAAGGTCAGCAAGTGTCTGGGCAGTGGCACTTGGTCAGGATGACTCTTCACCAAGCACTGCTCCTTTGCAATGTTGGGCCAGCCAAGGCCCCACAGGACTGCAGTGGCTGGGCCTATGGCCACCACTCTGGAGAAGTGCTTTGCTGACCTTTACAATGGACGCCCTCTCTGCGCGCCATCTCCCCACTGTTGATAATGTCTCTTAAACCTACCTAAGTCCATCTTTCCTTAACCTCAGCAAGTCGGTGTCCTCACAGGTTAACTGCAGATACTTCCTACCTTGCACAACAGTGGTACCAATTAGAACCTGTTTGAAAACAGTGTCTGAAACCACAGGCCTGCAAGATGTAAGAGCATGATTTCCCTTAATAACCTCTCCTTTCCCCTTTCAGATAGTAATCACGTGTAGGAAAACTACTGCTACATGCTCCACTGCAGCAGCCTTCCTGCCCCACTCCACACAGGTGTTGCCCGTGGGCCTCCTGAACAGACCCGCCAAGACCATACACGGGCCACCTGGGCACACTCACCACCTAACTTGGGGCAGATGGTCGTCCTAATGCCATGCAGTTCCTTAACTAGGAATGGCCCAGTGCCCAGTGTTTGTCCCTAGCTGTAATAGTTCCATTTAACATTCCAACAGGAAAAAAATCGAGACCTTCTAAGGGACAATGTTCTGTGAACATTGTGATAACACTACCTGTGGTGGAGTCCTCACACCAACCACCCTTCCTCCAGAACCTACATGGGCTGTAAACTTATTTCTAAAAGGCAAGTTTCTCTTTTCCTACCTTTCATTAACCAGGTTTAATGACCTCCTCATGCGATGTCGAGAACTGGACGCTTGGACACAAGACCTCTCCCTGCCGGCTGTGGTGTGGCTTTCTGGCTTCTTCAATCCTCAGTCCTTCCTCACTGGTAAGGTAGCCCTGTGTGCTTTCTCTCTCAACCTGTGAGTGCCTCACCAGCCTCCGTGCCGTTACAGAACAGGGAGGAGCAGTGACCACAGCAACCACAGAGGAAATGCTACTCAGGGAAAGTGGCCCCACGAGCCGCCAAGTGTGCTCTAGCAAACCTGTTCTATAAAGGGTCAAATGCTCTTTGGTCACAACAGCCCCACTCTGCTGTGACAGTGCCCAACCAGCAGCCTCAGCACTTACCAGGTGTGGCTGCTGCACTAAAACTGCATTTATAAAACCAGGGAGATTGACTTTCAGGCCTTGCTTTAGTGAAACCATAAGCAAATCCTGAAGAGCCTAAAACACAGTAGAGGCCGCCGCAGGCCTCACTAGCGCTCATGTTCGTGGGGCACCTGTGTACACTTTCATCCTGTCCCTGTTCTTCCCAAAGCGATTATGCAGACCATGGCTCGGAAAAATGAGTGGCCACTGGATAAAATGTGCTTGACTGTTGATGTCACCAAAAAAACGAAGGAGGATTATGGCCATCCCCCAAGGGAAGGAGCTTACTTGCACGGACTTTTCATGGAAGGTAAGCTACCCTGATCTTCCCACATTGGGACCTTCCACACACAGGTTCCAGTTCTCAGCATCCCTTTACTCCTGTTAATGGTTAGTCCTTCTTGTAGACCATGCAAATGCCAGTCTGTATTCCACATCTTAAGTCAGTAAGTTGATAGCTATTATATACAGTTGCATGCGTTTCTAATGTTAATGCCAGAGTAAAACTTAAGGCTTATTTTGCTTTTTAAATATAATCCAAGATTGTCCTTCTATCCGTTGTAAAAACGATCAGTAACTTTGAGATTTTATGTCAGCAAGCCTGTAAGTAATGCTAAAGGACATGACAAGAAATACGCTATCCTTGTGTCTGCCAAGATGCTCGTTTTCATTTTAAACCAGACAGTCACAGGTTTAAAAGCCTGGCCGGGGAAGTAGTATGAGTGACCATACTTGTTCAGCCACCTCGAGAAAATGCCCTCCCTTTATGGGTTTTGTGTAATCTGTTTTCACAGGCAAGTTGAGGCGCGACAGCCTGTATTTACAGCCTTCACACAGTGCCGGCCTTAACCCCCGGGCCAGCTAATAAGCAAGAAAGCCAGTGAGAAGCAGTAATGTGACCAAACCAGAACATTTATTGCTTGCAACAATTGCAGAATCATTACCAACACACCACACTGTTGCAATCCTTGTTTCCTGCCCCCCACAGGTGCCAGATGGGATACCCAGTTGGGAACCATTGCCGAAGCCCGCCTCAAGGAGCTGACGTCCACGATGCCCGTCATTTTTGCAAAGGCCATCCCCACAGACAGACAGGAAACCAAACACACCTACGAGTGCCCGGTGTACAAAACCAAAATGAGGGGTGCCAGCTACGTCTGGACCTTCAGACTGAAGAGCAGAGAGAAGACAGCCAAGTGGGTCCTGGCAGGCGTGGCTCTCCTGCTGGAAGCCTGACGGCCCCGGTGAGCATGCGCCACTGCCATGGGCAGCAACACTGAGAGGCACACACAGCTTGAGTCACTCAAGTGTCAGTCTTTTAAAAAACATCACTCATAGTATTGAGAGAAATAAGAAAATGTAGGGGGGAAAAACTAGAAACCTATACAGTTTCTCTTACCAGGGTTTTCTCCTAGTCCTTAAGTGGGGTTTATAATGGGATCTTTTTAAATTAAAAACTGTTAGCCCTGACATCCCTTTAAAACATAGAAGCAGCAAAAAAGAGGCTGCTCCAGCTGGCCCGCAGCACTCCAAGGCCTCCAGTGTCGGTATAATATCCACATTTTGTTCAAGTTTTTAAGTTCTGTGATTAATTGCACTTGTTAGGACTATTCACTGTAAATGTCCCTAGACAAACTACCTGATTGGAACTAAAGAATGACATAACCTCTATGGGAATTAGAAAACAGTAATAAGCTGGAGCCGCTTAGGCAATATTCCTCGGTACCTTACCTGAGCTGCTTCAACTCCACTACATTTTAACTGTGCGTTTTAATCATCTACAGATGCTTTTTAACAATTCAATACAGAAACACTTCTGTGTAGACACAGATTCCTCTGTTTTGTCTTCCTGAGAAATCTTTTTAACCATATAAACAATCTTTTTAAAACAGCATTTAGATAGACAAAGAACTTCTATATGAAAGCGCAGCGGGCTGTGGGGTTGGTTCCTTTTTTCCCTAGTGCTCTTCAACCAGCTGCTTCTGTAAGCTGAGAAAAGACAAGAAGTGTTAGTACAACAGTGGAAAGCTTCACCCCACACCTCTCTACTCAGTAGGGTGAGTGGTGGCCCTAAACTTACTGTGTTAATTAATGCTGGAAGCAGCTTACCAGAAAGTAAGGGAGGATTTTTACACAGGGACACCACCACTGGTAGGAGCTTCTTCAAAGTAAATAGCTGAATGGCACTAAGGTGCCTCCAGTTTTGAAGCTAAGACCTACCTCTCCAGATACTCCTTAACGTTGTTATAACCGTAAAATTTGGCCAGATGAATGAGGATCCCTGTGGCACAGCGGCCATCACGCTTTCGACAGTAACTGCAATTGCAGATCCCGCGGCAGGGAGGACACACCCAATCCTAGAAGACAAATGAAGCAGGAATTTCCCTTTAGCCACAAATTCCAGATAGGGTATCTGGACTTCAGGAGCATTAGGCCTCCCTCGTGCAGCTGCCCGGGTCAATGACATCAGCACTGGGTGGAGTTCTCGTTCACCTGTTACATACCCTGTGCCCCCTAAGAGTGATCAGTCACAACCTCAGTAACTGTTTCTAGCCCTCTCGACTGGGGACGGTACATTGACTGCCAGATAGACATCCCATAGTGAGGCTGCCACCTCATTTTACAGAGGAAATTAAGGCATTCAGAGGTTGTGGAATCATTTGACTTAAGGTTAAAGTGTAAGTAGTGAAAGGTACCCACATTCACTTAGAAAACCCAATGCAACCTCTCAGGCAGCTTGTTCTTGTTCCAGAAGGAAATGGTGATTTCATTTCCAGCTAGCTGTGATGCTGAGCCCTTGTACCTACCGGGTCCAGCAGCGCTGATCTCACGTCCTCCCCATAGCGATTCCGCAGGCACGGCCCGCAGAACTGTCCTCGCACTCCGCCGCAGCTCTGGTTCCGACACACTGTCTTGGTGTCTGTGGTCTTCTGTCGGCACTGATGGCAAGTGTTGCCCTAAGAGGGGAAGGTGTGATGAGAGGATCAACCCCGAGTGCTGCAGTGGGCACACACATCCCCTTCCCCTAGAATCAAGCAACATTACTTGACTTTTGTGAGCTTTGCAAAAGTCAATTATTTTCAGTGTGTAAAATGTGATTTTAAAATGTTGACAAAAATATTACCTTGAGATAGTCTTAGTTCTCCAAAAAAGAAAGACCTGGTAACTGCTTAACTCAGGTACTCTGTTAAAAATGGGCCAAGGTATTTTCTATGACTATAGTTTCCCCAATATTTGAAACCTGTACAATATGAACATTACATCTAAATATGTTTTTCTCTATATAAAGTGCATTCCCCAGAAAGACCCTCCCAGTAAGAATGACTTCCCTCCTCCAGAAACTGCTTAAAAGCCATGCAGGGTTTCAACCACCAGTGACTTAGACTGCCATTAAGTCATGATCCTAAAAGTAACTCACCAGAACTTTGTCGTAGATTTTATCTCGAACAGTAATGGCAACATTTTCTAAGTCCTCCTCCGTGATATCCTCCACTGGCCGGAAAGAAGAGGCACGCCGCCGTCGCCTGTACCCCTGGCACTTCCCCTGCAAAATGACACCAAGCATAAGTCAGTGTATTTTGCATGGCTGAAAAAATATAAGAAACCAGACAGCGCTAGCATCAACAGTGTTACCACCCTGGCATTGCTCACTCACTGAGAACACACCAACCTTCCTCAATTGTAAGGTGACACCCCCAGTCAGTGAAACTCAGGTTCTCTGGTAGACACACCGAGGAGAGGGAAAGAAGTAAACCAGACTGAAAAGCCAAGCCACGAAGGGGCCAGAAGGCTTGGACCATCATTGTACTTTTCCATAAGCAAAACTAGGGAGCCAACTGGGGCTGTTAACTAGACTCTCTACAGCTGAGCAGCATCTGAGCTCAGCTCCTAGGACTGTGGCCGAGGAAACACCACTTCCACCTGGGACCCGGACAGAAATGTAAACTCTCACCTTCTGCCCATCTACCAAGTCAGAACCTTTGTATTTTGAACCAGGTAGAAATAATGAGTGCCTGTATTTGAAGACTACTGGCTTAGACAAAGAACACCTTATTATAGTCGGCAAATACCCCACTGATGGTCCTCCTCCTTCTGATACTGTGAAACTCCTCTGCAAACTGGGTGGCTGAGACCGTGAAGTTCTCCAGCGCAAACTTCTCAGGAGGCCGTGCACTCCGCGCTGGGTTCATGCGCCGTGTGATCTGTCCTTCCGAGAAGGCCCTCCTCACTGTTTTCTTCTTCTGAAACCAAGAGCGAGACATACAGAAGTGGATACTTTCTAGAATAGGTGCCATCTGCCTACCGCTTACTATAGTACTATAGATCAGTAGCGATGTCAACAACCATAGGAGTTCCACTTACAGAAGCTGAGTTCGGGGTCCGTACTGGGAAGAAATCTGGCATTGAGTTCAATTCTGCCAATAGCTGAGCAAGCTGAAGTTTGGAACAAAAAAAGGAATTTAACCAACAACCACCAGTTCAGGCAAAGCCTATCACAAGAAACTTAGCTGCAATCATTTATGTAAGACCTTGACAACTCTTATAATTTCCAACATCTTTTTCTCCACAGGTCAGATGCCATTATCACCCATAGGAATAAAACCGATGCCCCATCTACATGAGGACAGGACACACTGAAATGTGTCCCAGGAAAGGCAAGGTCCTGACTACTGTGGCCCTGGAATGTGTTTTGTACACCTCCATCATGTTCGGTAAATAAAGGGTTCAACTACACTATTCTGATAGGTGTTTTTTATGTGGGATTTTTTTCCATATTTAGACAAATGTACAAGTGTCATTAAAACCGTGAAGAACAGTGAGTTTTGAAATTGAGATAGCTACAGTATTTAATACTTTTCCTTGCCTAAACACAGAGGAGTCTTAGGATAAAATTCACCCACAACTAGGCATAGCAGTTTTGCAAAAAACCTACTTACAATAAACAAACATTTCACCTTGCTCCATTAATTACTGCAACAAAGCCATTCTAATGCCTAGAAGGCCTCTTTCATTTGGTTGGCTGCTGCCTTGAAACCACACAGTCGTCACCACAGCACAAGAATTTCCAGGCTGAATCCTGCCCAACCTGCACACCTCATGTTTCTTGTCCTTCTAGGGTCACTCTGCATTCCAACCTTAAACAGTTAATGGGCACTAGAGTACAGTGCCATGTAGGAGCTGGAAATGAGCCAAGGAAACCTTTCTGTTCCCAAACCAGAGCTTATCAGCTACTTAGCTGCTTGGGGTTTGAGAAAAGAAAAGCAGCTGTGAGGGCAAAGCAGCCAGCTTGGGTCTCCCCGCATGGCCTTACCATGGCTTTGTTCTCCTTGATGTTCCTGGTCCTCTTCAGTAGAGCATCCGCGCTGTCCTGGCCGTCATCCTCAGATTCAGAGGCAGAGTCTGCCCTTTCCTTCCCCTGTCTGCAGTTTTTCTTTCTTCCAATTGCTTTTTTACTGTCCTGTAAGCAAGAGCTAGGAAACAACAGCTCAGAATTGTCCTTATCTGATTTTTGTGCTGGTTTCTTGGTGGGGAACTGAAAAGCCACTCGAAGACCAAAGCTGCTTCTTCTAGATCTGCTTCTTCTTGGGGTAGCCTTTTCTTCGTCATCATCCTCTTCCTCACTCTCTAAAGTTGCTTTATCGCTGTCGCTCAAATCAGACTCTGCAAGCTAACAAAATGAGAAAGGACATTTAGTCTGTTCTGTAAGAGACATTCACAAGACATGTTTAAAACCACTCTGACATTATTTGGGGGGGGGGGGTTGAGGGGGAGACAAGATCATCCCCTTCTGAAGAGTAGGAATAGCATCTATGAGAGAGACAGAACTCCTGACTGAGCCAGAGAAGCAGCAGAATGCCCAGTTATCAGGGTGTCAAGGTCCACGGGGGGAACCTCCCTGCCCCTTTTCCCATTCTACTTGGAATAGTTCTCCAGCATTAACATATAATTCAAGAACAAAGATGACAGTGGGGACACTCAGTTGTGAAGGGACTCTAAGCAGCAGCAGAGAACCCATGTGCCAGAAAGGTTAGCCTAGGTGAGGGCCTCCCAAAACCAGGCCTGCTATGACAACTGCACACAGCTGTACTTCCTCAGGAAGTCTCTAAGCTACAGCTGGGCTCAAGTTGAAAAGAAGGCAGAGGAAGGGGGAAAATAAAAACTGCCTGACTTTGACATATGTATCAATCCACACCTAGCCAAGGAGACAAATACAACTCTCCAGCATTGATTTACCTTGTTTTACTAGTGTTAAACTTCCTCTATTAGTAACTCTGAAATTAAAAACAACGGCTGTCGGGCGGTCCTGCTGGTGGAGAAGTAGCTGGAGAACTTACTGGCCTCCACCCACCCACCTCCTACGAAAGATGTTGGGCAGCTTACTGCAAAAGATGAAGGGAGAAAAAGGCAAACTAAAGACTGGGGAGACTCAGCCCCCCTCAGAGCTGACCACGAGGGCCAAGGTCATGACTGGCAGGAAGACCCCAAGGCTTGGTGAGATCCCACGGTCAGAAACAGGCTCGGGAGACCTCATCAGGGTGGCAGGAGATTGGGGAGGGAGGCAACAAAGCTTATTTTCACAATGAATTTTAAAATAAAACTTTCAGGTAAAACTACCATGAGCTATGAGTTTGATCTGAGTTAACATTACAGTTCACACCCTAAAATTTATAAACTATGAGGGGGGAAGGACTTTTGGGGTAGTTCACTTTCCCATGCTGGAAATACAAATTCTCTGAGTAACTACTCATCACTTCACTGAAGAACATAAAATAAGCCACAAAGTTGACAATACTCAATCAGGTTTGGAAAGATTTTACTATTTCGCTGGCAGGAAACTAGAGATATGGGGGCCAGAACACAAAAGCTGCCATACACAGAGTTGCTGTAGAGAGAGTGAAAGGACAGTGGGGTCTCTGTGTTGCTATTCATGGGGGAAAAAAATCATCGTCAAACAAGGCAGCCTACCATTAGGGCTTTCAGGCCTAAGATCCCCCCAGGAAAAGATGAGGGGGACAAAGTGAACCTACTAGTTATAGCTATTTAAACTTCGACACAGGTTCCATGCCAGAAGTGGTTCCTTAGAAGCTTCCGAGAATGTAAAGAGGCTGAACTTCTATTTTGATACCAGAGGAGAAAGTGGTAATTGATCTGGGATAAATACATGCTATTTTTCAGTAAGCAAAAAAACTCTTGTACACTTAAAAAAAAATCCAAAAGCTATTCTTTAAAGTTACCCTGGGTTCAAATACTCACTGGCCAGTAAATATGACTAAATATATGAAATAAAGGATAAGATGAACAAATCTTCGTGATACTGTGCTGAGTGGATTTCCCTCAGGAATGAGGGAGGCAGCACTGTCTTTGAGTATGCAGGCATCCAATCAAGAATACACAGGGAACAAAAGCTATGCAATGTCATAAACCAGTATTACTTCAGAAAAAATTTAACTGACTAAAATGAAGTACTAAAATGTACATGGGGGCCCTCCCTGGTGGCACAGCGGGTTAAAGCACTGCACTAAGAAGCTAAAGCCACTTCTGCATGAGTTCGATTCCCGCCTGCCCCGGAGGTGATCCACATGGCGCGGCAGATCTCTTCTGACCCGCCCGCTGCTCCCCTCAGCAGTGTACTTCCTCGATCTGCCTATTCTGCTCCCCGCTCTGTCTCTGGTGAATCCTCTCACCCTCTGCATCTCTGGCCTATACCCCAGTTCTGTATGAATAAATAAATAAATCTTTAAAAAAAAATGCACATGGGAAATTTCTGTCAAACTTCTAAGCCTAACACTATGATGTCACACAACAGAAAATTACTTTAAGGGCCTCCCTGGTGGCACAGGGGATATCAGCCCTGTCAAGCTGTCTCCAACCACTGTGGCATGGGAGCTGACCCACATGGCACAGACCTCTCCTGTCTCACCTGCTGCTCCCCTCAACAGTGTACTTCAGTAGATCTGCCCATTCTGCTCCCTACTCTGTCTCTGGTGAATCCTCACCCCCTGCACCTCTGGCCTAGACCCCTGTGCTAGTCTGTGTAAATAAATAAAACATTAAAAAAAAAAAAAAAAAAGACTTTAAGAAACATACTACTCCAAATAGGCCCTCCTCTTACCACAGTGGTGTAAGATAATCTGAAATTCAATGATAAGACATATTCCCCCAAGGCACCAGGGGAGAAAACTGGATTTTCTCTAAAAGAACAATGGAGTAGAAGGTGAAGGACTCACCTGAGAGTGATGATCTTTATACCCTGTTAACGAGTTTATAAGACAAAGGTTTAAACAAAGTAAAATCTTTTCATTTGTGAACTGATCTTATTAACAAGTTTAGATGCCAATGAGAAACTGGACTAAAAATATTACAACCCATACCCCTTCGTGTTGATGGTTATCACCATTACCTCTGGGTTGCTGTTCACAGTCAGATCACTCTGTGTAAACCCTTCAAAGTCTTCTGTCTCTGAGTCAGTGTCCTCTATGAAGATTCTTCTTAGTTCTTCTGTTAAGTATTTGGAGTGGAAACACACATCCTGCTAAATTAAAAACATATGTACATCATAGAAAAAGAAAGAATGGAGGTTAGCAGGGGCGAGTCACCCTAGTGGGGAGTCAGTTACTATTCAGTGGGGCAGAGCAGCTGTTTGAGGTGCTGACAGTGTTCTCGAGAAGGGGGCTGCTGAGGGCTGCACACAACCATGAATCTAGTGAGTGCCACGTGGCATCCTGCTGACCAGAAACTGGGGACTTGCCTGCATTTAAAAATGGCTGCAATGGTAAATATTTCACACTGTGTGTATTTTACCACATTAGACAGCACATATGTTCATGTTTGCTAAAACAAAATTCAGAACCAGAAGTCAAATTATTTTAAAAAATTCAGAATGGCTGTAGCCTCCATCAGTAGGTGCTAACGCTACTCAGTTTCTCCTGCCAGAGCTGGCCATCGTCTGCTTCCCCGCAAGATGAAAACAATGGGAAGATGTGAGGAGGAATCGTGGCGCCTTCCACGTGCTGACTTTCCCTTCTGACAGCCACCCGACTCGGTCTCCTCCCGGTCCCAGTCCTTAACTCCCGCTAGCAGATGGCACCTCTTGGTGGAGAAGCATCTCTTCTGCTGGCTGGAGACATGGAGTCGCCCCATGACCAATTACTGCAGAGGACACAGAGAAACCTCCCTCCTTTCCTCCAGGATCTTGATCCCCCAGGAGTTCCCTGGGGGTACAGGTAACGAGGAAGCAGAAGGAAAAATGATTTATGACTGACTCGTTGAGACAGTTTCCAATTATGACTTTGTCCCCATGCTCAGAAGAGGCAAAAGAAAGGAGACCCACACCCAGCCCCCTGAGCTGGCAGCCAAGGCTGAGTCCATGTCCCCAAGCCCCTTTGACGTTTCTTCCTCCCACGCCTGATACAGCTATGACCCCTCATCACATCACATTTGACTGGTGAATATTTATCTACCCCTGCCTTTCCTTGACTTTAATTATATACTTCTTAGAGCTTAGATAATCTCTAGAGAAAAACAGATATAATAGACGAGCGAAAAAACGTACAGGGGAAAGAGAAAGAAATGCCTGTATCCAGCATTTTTTAATCTTAAAAATGTGTCTTATGAATTATTATGGGTAATTGGAGTAAGTGTGCTCAGAGCTAAATTACTTTGTTCCTTTGTTGATAGCTGCGGTACAGCTGCTTGAAAATAATAATAATAATACACATACAAAAAGGAAGTTTCCTTTAAAGTGAAACTCAAATTGTTTGCAAGGGAGACCTAAGTCAGCACTGCCTAGCAGACCATACGAGTTCACACAGCTTCCCCCCAGCTGGCTGCAACGGCTCAGGAGTGTGCTGGTTAAGGCTTGAAGCAGCAGGCCAGGGCAGTCATTAAAGAAGAACCACACTCCACAGGGAGCCACGTCGGAGAGCAGGAAACACCTGCACCCAGTGCCCTGAGCGGCCCTGCAGTCTGTTTTATGGCAATAGGGCCTCTCCGTGACTTCACCATACACCATAGTCCTTGCCTACGCCTCAGGCAAGCTCACCATGCCTTCGAGCATCAAGTTCCACCTTCCAGTCCTTCTGCTCCCCTCTATCCTTTGAGTTGGCCTCCCAGGGCAGCGGAGGAGAAATCACAAGGGCTTGTTCTGCTGGCAAAAAAATGAGCTAACTATAGTCCTAAACTGGGATTATGTTTTCTCCTATTCCTCGGGGTGTAAAAATTTGTTTTTAACAGGGGTCTGCATGAAACACACACCCAGCTCACATGGTCTTTGTTACAGCCTTCCAGAATCTGTGTTATTCGTTGAAATCAATTCGAGCAGTGGACTAAGGGCCTTGGTCATGTCTGCGACCAGGAACATAAGCACGTAACAGGTGAAAAGGGGGGCTACTGGATGGTTATATATTTTTAAAGATTTATTTATTTATGCATACAGAACTGGGGTATAGGCCAGAGGTGCAGGCGTGGTGAGAGGATTCACCAGAGACAGAGCAGGGGCAGAACAGACCGACTGACGAAGTACACTGCTGAGGGGAGCAGTGGGCGGGTCAGGGGAGGTTTGTTGAGCCACGTGTCACCTCCAAGGTGGGGCAGAGATCAAACTCATGTTTAGCTTCTTAGTGCTGTGCTTTAACCCACTGCGCCACCAGGGAGGGCCCACATTTTTATTCTACATGAAGAAACAGACTGGAAAGCTAAGACAGGCAGAGCAACTCAGTCCTACCCAGCGGGGTCGGGGTCTGCATGTTTGAAGCAAGAAGAAAGGGACAGTGCAGGCATGCAGTCACATACGGGGGAGCCAGAAGGCCACACTCGAGCCTGAAGTCCCTCCAGGAAGATGGACGAATTAGCAAGTAACCACCATGAGGGTCAGTGTACGAGGAAGACTTAGGCAGTGCAGCATCCAGACAAAGGGGAAATTCATGCAGGCTTCATGGAACACACATCCACGTGGCCCGAAGGGCAGGTGTAGGAAGGGTGTAGGGCAGAGCGTCAGAAGCTGATGAGAGGGCGCCCAGGCTGGGAGAGCAGCCTGCCCTGGAGCAGAGGGCAGGACAGTACGTGCCGAGGGCAGCAATGCAGTTCCTGGCTGAATGCTGCCCAGTGGGCAGGAGAGAGGATGGTAGCAGGTCTGAGGCTGAGAAGCACCTCAGCTGCCTTCTCGGAGTGTGGCCTTGGACAGGCACCTCCCTGAGCTTCAGTTCAACACCTGCCAGAGGACGAGTAACAGCAACACTCACAGCTTCCCAGGTAGGTACGTGAAACCCACGTGACCCATATTAGAAGCACATAGTCACCGACCACCTACCTGGCTGGGCTCTGACTGGGGGTGGGAGGGAAGAAGTCTTGCATGATGGAATCAGGTGTTACAGCACCAAAACCAGATACTTTGTTTCCTAATAATGTCCACTACAAGCCAGGCTTGTGGGCACCTAACAGGTCCTCCACACTCAGAAACGCTTCCCATTGGACCCAACAGGCTCTGCGCTCCATCACCACTCAGGAATGGGGACAGGAGACTGCAGCACGAGGGAGGAGGGGAGCTAGACAGACTGGAATCAGAGTGGGGAGCATCTGGACAAAGGCTATGAGGACGGTGAGAAAGGGATGAAGAGGTGAGGAAAGAGGGAGGAGATGGAGGCAAGGAACTTGGCATTGTTTCACCAACTCTCTGGGAGAGTCCAGGAGAAGGGAGGATAAAGAGGAAGATGGAGATAAAGTGGGAAAGCCAGAGACAACTGGGGGAAGAAAATGGCAGTTTCCAGTAACTCAAGACTAGTACAACTGGCCAGGCAAACCAACCTGAGGCTGGAAGAACCTGGAGGTGAGCCGCCGAAGCCAAGCTATCATGGAGCTCACTAAGGAAAGCAAGGCCGGAAGGCAGAATTTGAAGAACATCTACAGGAGAGACAGGAAAAAGATGAGGTGACAATAAACAATGCTGCGTTTCAACACAATAAAGATGTAAGTGGAAAAGAACAGAGGACGTGGAAGTGGCTGTAGGGGACAGATGCTTTGGTGACATCAGGGGGATCGCAGAGATGGGGAGGCCTCCAGTGGCCTCCGACAGAACATACCCCCAGAATCTTCACAAGTCAGCTAAGAAAGCAGACACGTTGCACTAATTGCTTCCCTTCCTATACTTGTCCACTTGAAGCCAGGTGGGTCTTTGAAGAGAGGCGATGGTCAAAGAGAATCAAGAATTTTCAGTGTCACGATGAAAGCAAAAGAAAAGGCCCCAGAAAGCTATATATGTTGACTCGCTGTTCTATTGCTAGGCACAATGTCAACCTCCAGGAGACTCTCAGAGAACTGTAATTTGTGTTTGCACAGATCAAAGCCGGTAAGGAAGAATGCCATAGTTCCAAGAGTGAAGTGCCCCAGAGCCACACTCATGAGATGTCTCAAAGCAACCACACACTCCTGTTCACATGCCAGGCTCTCCCTGTGTGGGGCTCACCCTCCCTGCCAGCCCCTGCACCTCTGGCTTATACCCTAGTTTTGTATGAACAAATTTTTAAATAAAAAAAGAGAAGGTAGCCTGTTTCTGCCTATAATCTATATGTATGCATGTGTGTGTGTGTGTGTGTGTGTGTGTGTGTGTGTGTGTATAATTTAAGCAGCAAAAGTGAGGCAAAGTTCTAGCACCAGAATCTGGAAATGTAAAGATACTAAAACACTTAGAAAATAAAAATACTCAACAACCGCTATCACCAATCTCAAACCACAGTCAAATGAAAGAATATCTGAACCAATATTCTGGCTTCCAGACACGCCTGCCTTGAAGCCAGCACTGTGGTACCTGTTTCCTGGGCTCCAGCGAGTCAAAACTATCACAGCTTTCCTCTGATGAGAGGGTTTCCATGGGAACATCATCTGGAAAACCAAGGAAGTCTTCATCATCACTGGGGGCGTTAAAGATGTCAGCTACTTCTTTGGGTATCTGTTTGTGATTCAGAAAAGAAGAAGCATATAACACTGCTATAACCTCTTAGGAAAATTTTCTTTTCTAAAGGACAGTAGGAGTGACCATCTCAAACTCCGCCACCTGCTGTGGCTGCCTGGCAAGCCCCAGCAGCCCCAAGTAACACGTGCTTCAGCTGATCCCTCACAGCAATATGGGAATGAGGAAAGGATAAGACCTCTTTTTCAAATTCCAGCGTTATATCCTATCTTCCAGCAAATGTCAAGGCTATGCCTAGACATAAGATCTCTTGACAAAAAGAAAACAGATACTAGTTTCTGAGCAAACAATTATTTCTCTATTTTTCTCCTACAATGGATTTATCTTTCGATGTCATCCATATTTTTTAAAAAATCCATGAGATATTAACTTAGCTCCTCTTAATTTCCACCTACAGTTATTTTATTTTTGCTTTATCAGTGATTTAGATATAAAAATTCATACAATGAAGCAAATAGCTTGCTTTCTTTTTCATATTCTGAGTCAATCTAAGTAATTTTGGAATTAATTTCAAGGGAGTTTAAAGGCTGTTAGGCAATTATTCCTAGAGAGAATACTGTCAACACACTTAATACCATCTACTGAGAGTCCACTTTTGTATGGTAACTGATTTGTTCCTACCTCTTTTTGAAAAGTTTAAACACATAGAAAGCTGAAAGAAAAATATAACTATCTGTATATTTTTCCTCTGGAGCCATGATTTGTTAGCACATTTACTTAGTCTCTTTTAACAAATACTGGGTTGAACCAGATATATCTTCTGATATGACTGTTGGACTAGGAAAACAGCAATTTATTATAAGCCAATCTAATCTATATATGTTTCAGGTAATTTGCAAACATAATACCAATTCACCCTAAAATATTTTCTCCCAAGAGTAAGGCCACCTTCCTACAGAACCTCAAAAAATAATTACACCTACAGTAACATTAATTCAATAATATAAAGCTTACCTCATCTTTAAATGTCTGCCACTGGGCCTCCCTGGTGGCACAGTAGTCAAAATCTCCATGTAGCCAAGCTAGGGCAGGCCACGAAGTCTGTCCCCGGCCAAGGAGCTGACCCACAGCATGGTGCAGCAGACCTCTCCTGACCCGCCCACGGCTCCCCTCAGAAGTGCACTTCAGTAGATCCACCTGTTCTGCTCCCCACTCTGTCCCTGGCCCCCTGTACCTTGGCCTGCACCACAGTTCTTCCTACATAAATGACTAAAAATAAATCTTTTTTTTAAAAAGTGTTAAGATGGTAACAAAAAAAAAGCTTGTTTCTTTCCCCAAAATGTCTTTCATAATTTGGGGATAAGGATCATGCACTGTATTTGTTTCCTATGCCATTTTTTATATAGCCCAAGACAACTGTCTATAGAATGCTGTACAGACTGAGTTTATCTGACTGTTTACAAGGGACACACTTATACACAATTTCCTTCTGGTAACAGTTCTACACAGGCAACATATACTTTGCAAAGTATTGTATTAATTAGAAACACAGACCATCAGAGTATCTCCTATAAAATACTAGTGTTATTTAAAAATATGAGAACTTCCAAACATATTCAAAAAGAGATGGAATAGTACAATGGACACACAGAGCGACTCCTTAGCAATCACCTGTTCGGTTACTCTTGTGTCATCTGTAGCCCTACGTACCAGCCCTCCTTCCAAATTTATTTAACTCAGTTATAAACACAATACCACTTCACCCTATATAAGTAAATATAGTTTGTGTTCACAGTTCTCTTGTCCTGTATTTTTAAACTGTTCACACCATGGCCCAGCAAAGGCCCATACGTACAGGTCTCATATTTCTGTCTTGATTCCTAATTTTTTCCTGCAACTTATTTTCAAAAAAATTAGTCATTTGACTTCAGAGTTTGCAGTCCCAAGATGGTGTTTACCGGATGCTTCTGGATGTCCTATAATTTGGCAGTTTAATCTAGAGGCCCCAAATCATGACTGCTTCCTTTCTTGTGAGACTACTGTGTAGTTCTTCCTCCCTTCAGAGGGCAAAGAATATCTGGGTTGTCTCTTCTGAGTGGTAACACTGTGTGATCAACAAGGATAGGCCAAATTTCTAACTAACAGAAATATCTTTTACTCTTGGTACTTAATAAGAATGAGGTGGTATTTGAGACTGTGACTGTTCTTCCTGGTAACATTTCACTCAATAATTTCATTATCCTTTGGTAACTTTGCCCAGATCAATTAACACATAAAGGTTTACAACGATGATTTTCAAATTCTACTCCTACTTCACACACTAGCTTGCATTCTGTCATATATAACCTTCCTCCCTGTCCCTGTTTCCCACTGCCTCATGTAGATACATGGATTTTTTTTAATTAAATGAGTCATAACCCGTTACTGTCATTCCTTCTGCTGCAAATTTGGCCATATAAAGTTTCTCTAAATCTGCTTCTGTGTCCCTTTGATAGGACCCTTTTAACACAACAAGCTTTCCAGCACAGCCTACCCAGCTAGCTGTACGTCACCTGCTTCAGAACTTGTAGCAGCCACGCTGGGCTTCGCCACGTCCAATAAGGCACAAGGCCTGCGAGCTCCGTGTGCTGCTCACTAGTCAAGCATCGTTGTTTCTAGGCTCTGTCCAACAGAGCAAGGGTATTTCAAGTATCTTGAATCCCAAGTTCACAGAACATCATAAGTTTGAACCACCATGGAAGGAATCCTCCCCACCTCCCTCATGCCTGCATTAGTACCTCCGGTCCCCACACAAGAAAACCCCAGCTCCAACATTTCTCAGATACACATTCACTTGCTCTATCGACCCACCAAATAGTTTCAGTCCTACACCAGCAGCACAACCCCCCGCAACAGTCAAGTTGAAGATTGCCTTATCATCCTATCTTTGGAACTCAGCTCCACTCTATACAGTATCTTTCTCTGAGACAACCCATCTCTTTACCTGGGTATGCAAAAGTACCTTATGGGTCTTCTTAGTTCATCATGTGGTAATATTAAAACGATACCTCGAGTATCAAGATTTTAATCAATTTGACTACTATCATACAGCATTCTCATGTGCAAAACTAGCACTCCCTTGAAACTGAGTGCACAGAGGTGGGGAGAGCAATGCCAGTCCAGTTTGGTGCCAATGACTTCACTCACATTAACCACAGTAGTTTTCTCTGCTTTTGCTTCTGCATAACCAGAACACATATTAAGAGACAAATATGAAGAAAGACCAAAGTGGTAACATCATTCTGTAACTCAGAAAGCTTGGTAGCACAGAAGCATATTTTGACAAAAAGGGTTAAAAGAGAAGAGAGAAGAAGCCCCAATGTTTCAGTTAAATGGAAGCACATACAGGACGAGGATGAGGCACCTCCAGGAACAGGAATCAATTGCTTCCAGTGGCAACTGCATTAGCCCAAGGGCTACGGCTGCAGCCAATGCTGACAAGCCTGTGTGTCCCCCCAATTCCTCCTTCCTTATCTTTCACTTCTGCATCTGCTCCAGAGGAAAAAAACACTTTCAAAAAACCAAAACCACTATGCATTCTTGGGGCATTCAGGGCTGTTTCTGGCTGCCAAACTGCAAAAGGCATTCAGAGAACAGTCACAGGCTCCAGGGTTTTGGAAAAAAAAAAAAAAAATCTCTGTAAAATATGTGAGAGTCTTTGATACAACAAACTCATAAAGGGAAAATTTGTGTATGACAGAAACCCAACGAAAGAGGATTCATAGGGCACCCTTCCAAAGCCTGACCAGCAGTTCAACAACGGCCTGAGGACCCATCATTCCCGGTTCCGTTCAGCAGTGTCCAATGGACAATTTCATAGTCTAGACACAAACCGCAGACTGCTTTCCCCAAAGCTTATCTATTTGACTACAATGGCAAACAGAGGACTACATAAAAACAAAAAAAAAAGTTGAACTGTAAAGAAAATGTACAAGTTTCCAAGCAGCAGGATGTTGATAGTAATGAAACTTACACAATAGAATGTGACAAAGCTGACAAAAAAAATAAAATTAACAGCTGATACCACCAACCCAACCCCTCCCCGCCAAAAAAAAAAAAATCCAGAAAAATTCCCCTTGTGAATACGAAGGCTAACTATTCATAATTGGCTTTTCTAAACCAAAGACATCTATTGTAACCTAATTTTCAAAGACGTGGTTTGTGTCTGTTACTCTTCCTTGTAGGAATAACTGAAGAGCAGCACAGGTCACAGGGGATCATGATTCATGCCCCAATAGGGTACAGACCTACGCAGGGCCTAATGGTATCAGCATTTCTTTGCTGAAGGCAGAGCTTCCCAGGGAAAGCGTCCTGGGATCAAAGGTGCCTCTGCCACATTCCTATGCAAGAATAAAGGATTTTCACCCAGAATACTAGAACATGATCTCCGAGTAGTCACACAAACAGGTCCTCTTAGAACAGGACTGCAAATTTCACTTGTAGGTCCTACAAATTACCATAGAGCTCATCTCAGGGACACAGGAATACACAGTAGGTTTTGAGGCAGGGAGGCAGTGAAGGCAGCAGCTCAGGGTAAGACAGGGACAGTGCTGACGAGTGAGCTGAGGACACAAGACCAGAAATGGAGCCTTCCCCCTCCATTGTCACCATCCTGCAATGGGCCTCAGAGAAGCCAGAACGCTAAATCATGGGGAGAAACCCCAGCTGTTACTTTCTAACGTAAGGACCAAATACCCAGGCTGGATCTCAAACTTGTCCGGGGAAAGAGTACAACAGGACTCAGAGTACTTTGTGCAACACCAGTGAAATTTTAAATGCCAGAATTACAAATACCACCACCAATAGACCTACTTGGTGTCCAGTAGTGACAGTACTGGAAAATGGAAGTGTTGAAAAAATTAAGTCAAATCAAGTGTTGGGAGTCCTGACAAAAAGAATGAAAGTGGGAAAATTGTTGGAGAAGAACCTTACAAGGGGGTCAGGCCACCTCCTGCCCGAAACCCCACCTGGGAGACCATGCCTGTTGGACGAGTCATGAC